TATTTTCATGACCAGTGTTATAGCCAGAGTTGATGGAGCAATCTGTTATCTCCGTCTTATGTTAGTTAAGTCTGTCCACTTGAGGGCAGTCAAGCTTTGTGGGGTCCATGATATTTCTCATGTGGCGACCCACACAACTGGAGTGTTTGTACCTGGACGAGCATACCCTTGAGAGCTGTTTGAGGCACAAGGCCTCTCATAGATGAAGCCATTACCACAAAGCTCATTAATTGTCTGAGCTGTGCATATGTGCTTGCATGCAAAAAGTGTGGCTGCCGGGTTTCTCAACCTGAAACACTCCCAAGAATACATTCCCAGAAATACTAAATGTGAGATATGATTGTTTGAAGGATGTGTGCTAGCTGCTCTTGCATCAACCAGATATTGATAGAATGGATTCACATTGTTGGCCTGCTGTGCAGCCACAAAACTGGCACTGCCATTAATTTTGGAAAAAACCTGTGAGGCTACAATGGGCAAACATTGAACTAATATCTTGAATCAAATGTATGAGATTGAGTGATATCAGGAAATCCCCTGATGTACACAGCAGTGTAGCTCTGTTGTGGTCACCATCATGAAATGCTCTGAGGGAATATACTGATTCAGTTGGCTTGGGTCTATATTTTTCACCAACAATATTGGAGAATGACACAGAAAATTCAGACACTGCTGCTATTTGCAAATAATTCTCTCACTTCCTTGAAAATCATGCCTACCATTAGTCTTGGCAGAGCCATTGACACTGGTGATGTAGTCAACTGAAGCTTTCTGGCTAACTTGATCTTGTAGCTGACTACTGAAAGATCCCACAGGGTCATTGTGATTGTTAGGCAGTTTGTCTGTCATTATTGGGCATTCTAACCCTATGAATGAAATTTACTGTTTGTGTGTATGTGTCTTCAGTTTACCATATTTAGAACAAATATTGTATTGGTGCATCTATGCCTAACGTCATTGGTTCTGGCAATATGGTTGACTGCTGCCTCTGTTGAGGCCATCATAATGGCTAGCTACTTAGCACTGGTCTAAACTAATTCCTTATATTTGGTCCCGTTGAATCAAAATAGTTTTGCATTCCCCTGTTCAGTGAATATCCTTTCACCATAAATACAGCATTCTGGGTGATGTTAGCCATGTAAAAAAAGGGACACGTTATGATCAGCAAATTCTTGTATTGACCATTGAGTGCCGGCTTAAAGCCAGAGACTGCAGCAGCACTTGGTGAATCAGAAAAATGCAACTAATGTGGGAATTAAAATTTATTTAACTTTGTGCCCAAGGTTAGACATTCTTCCTTGCAAAAGAATGGTACATCTGGGCCAACAGTACTGGATCATATGGTACAGGGTCTCCTTTACAATCTGGTTTGTCACCAGAAATACAGTACTGATGTTCCCACTTATAATCTAATGGTGCTTTTGCGTGGTGTGGAATTTGCAACCCTGCCTAATATCTCTGCCCTCTGCTTGACGAATGAATCAACAGCAGGTGGCAGTGGTATAACAGTGGATCTACACTGAGGTTATTGTACCACCTCAGTCGCCTCATATACTTATCTATCCCAAGAATTTTTCTATTTGGGCTACATTTTTTGAGTAGACTTGACACATCAGAAAATATAGAACTAAACTAAAGGGCACTGGACCCCACACATGATCTATTTTATTGT